TCTCTTGAAAAATGATCTGAAATACTTGGTTTCCGCCCAATTTTTTAAATTAATTTAATAATATTGGAAAGACGTTCAGAATTAACAGGGCTCTGTGCCCTTTTTACAAAAACATTTTTTCATTTTTTTCCAGAATATTCCGAGATACGAGCACGCTTACAGATCTAGGTGTCCGATGACTCGGAGCGGCCCACGCCGCCTCAATCCGTACTGTGTTTGCATTATCTACGTGATTTTTTCTCTATTTTGTGCATTATTGAGCGTAATAGTGACGAGTCCTAAGAAGGTGAGTGGTGAGGATGGTAGAAGAAGAAGAACCGCAGGATGTAAGTTCACGTAAGTTACGCAGCGTACGTGTAAGGTACGCTACGGAATCAAGTGTCTGCGTACGGGCCAACTCTCTTGTTCCAGCTTCTGACGTAGGGCGTTAAAACAGAGGGAAATATTTGGCGAGTGAACACACGTTTACATCGCCGCGCGGCTCGATTCGTTTACATTCACGGTTTGTGCGTCATGCAATGGATTGCGCTTCATTCGCCTTCTTTCGATCGCGTTGTTTGTGTTTTTGCCCTTCATTATGGCCTCCAAGCCCAGAACTGTAGAACCTTCATTTAAACCACAGAAGACGTGACTAAATACAGGGTCTAAGGTTCGAGCTCATCCACTGACGACCGACTGGACGGTGAAGACGTGAGCAGAGAGGATCAGGAGTTGGAGAAGGGAAAGTGTGAAGAGGAAGATGAGGAGGAGGAAGAGGAGCGGAGAAGCCAAGGCCTTTGGGCAGAGCCAAAACCGCCCACTGCCGCTCTCTCCATCACTCCCTCCCTTTGTTTTCACACCCACCTTTCTTCTCCTCCGCCTCTCTACGCTAACCACACGTGCCCTGGATGTTCCATCTTATATCCTCCTCTCTCTCTCTCTCCTCCTGTCCAATTTGACTTTCCTTACCCTTCATGCCTCCATCCTACTCCCTCCTCACCCAGATGTACATGGAGGAGTGAAGTGAAGGGGCAGGAGCGTCAACCACACACTCTTCAGACGGTTCAGTACGGTAGGACTTTATAATGTGTGTAATATGGTTTGGAGGATCCACGGAAATGTCCAGAAAAGTCCTGGGTAAAGACTCTTATACTCCAGAAAACATCACAGATGTTGGACTATAACCTTCGATCAGTAACGTATCACACATGTCTTACATGCACAAGGTCCTGGGTTCGAGCCCCAGTAGAACCATTTACCTAATCCTTCTCATGTCTTTTTGGATGAAGTGTTAGCTAAATGCTAACGGTCAATGATGATTAAACATTGGCTGGCGTGTCTTCTGCACCTTCAGCAGCGGTTTCCTTCGTTGTTCCCACACAAACAGACATTTCTCTCAATCATTTTCTTTTAGAATTTGAACATTACCTACAGATGGCGCCTGGGCTCAAATCTGTGCTAAATAAACTCATTGGCACTTGAGGACTCAGACTCAAACTTAACCACGAGAGAAACCGCACCTCATGTTCCGAGGTACCCGTACTGCTTGTCTGTACTCGTCTGTGCAATTGGCAACAAATGCTAAGTCTTAATGAAATAGTAGTAGTGACTTTCCCGTTGAATTCTAATACACCGTCTTTTTAGAGTCAGCAGTGATTTTTTTTTTTTTTTTACAAAACTCCCACTCATAAAAACCCACTCTGTTTCTATAAGTAGAGGGAAAATAAAAGATTAGTGTGTATGAAGCAACACCTGATAGTCAGGAGTGGAATGGACCACGCACTGTACTGCAGTGAAGTACACACTAAGACACCCATACACACAGGTATTTGTGTATTTCCAGCACTCCCTCTCCAGCTCCTTACTCTAATGGAAACTGCTCCAAACACATGTCTAATCTTAATCCTCTAATCTCAATCTGGGCCTTCTGATTCTGATTGACTTTAACCTGTGAAAATTCCACTTCAGGTCAAAGTGTCCCACACAACAACAGTATTATTTACTGTCCCCAACATGTATAACTGCAGCAGGTACACACAGCATCACTGCACTGATTGCTACTGTGAAGTGACGTTCCTTTCACTTTTACTACAATACATTCTAATGCATTACACATATTCTAAATATATTAAAATACAGCAGCAAGTTTATATTGTACATATACAAACACAGGGTAAAATACCCAAAGAGGTGTCATTAAATAAAACTGCTCCATGTTGTACAGCACTTGTACTGATATTTTGAGCATGGTCCGAGTCAAAAAGCGTCCTCTGATGAAATCTCTTTTATCTGGTGGACTTGGTCCAACTTGATCAGCGATGGGACATAAATGTCTTGTTCTAAGTGGCGTTTTTTGCTTCAGTTTTGTTTCCTTATCAGTTCTGCACCTTTATGAGTCAGCTCGCGTCAAACAGGAAACAGTATTTTCACACAAAAGGGAAGCTAAACTGGACTGTTGTTTTGGTTTTTAAGCTTCAGTTTTATGAGAAAAAAAAATCCCTAAAATCATAAGTCACCAGATCTGGTTTGACGCCTAATGTGGTGAGGGTTGGCAGAATTTCCAGATAATTACCAGAACATGTTGACCTTTACAGGTGTGAAGGTTATTTTCAGTTCATATTATGAAGTATGTGTTGAAGCTTCAAAAAGGTTGAAGTGACGGCTGCAGGTGCAACCGTCAAGGTGGAGTGATATAAAACTGATGTGCAATATTTATATCTACCTCTACGTGGTGCTAATCACAGAGACGGCCCTGTAATTTCCAGGTTATGCTGCAGTGACATGTCTGTCAATGCTCACACCGTGGGAGGGTGAGAGCCATAATACACAGTTTTAATGATGTGTCAATGACATGTTGGCTCCAGATCAAGCTGGGAGGGAATTTACCTGCTTTGTTATTTATGATGAAAACAGTGACATTTATGTGAGAGAAGACAAAAACTCTGGGCAGCGGTTATGGAATGTTAGCCCTGTTTTCACATACATGTTCAGGCAGGTGAAAACCACAGGTTTTTCCAGAAACAAAGGTGTAACACAGAACAAGAGAGGCACGCTAACCAATGCAAATGGTTTCTCAACCCGGTGGTTTTTGAATTTGGGTGGCCGACAAGAAGACGCTGGGAGAAAAATTGGCGAAGGAAAGAAAAGAAAATATAATTTTATGTCTGCCCTTAGTGTCAGATTCTCAAGTTTCCAACGGTACCTAAATGTACTTTGCAGGAGAGCTGTAACTTCGGCACGACAACACCACAATCTGTGTATATCTGGCTGATCTGCTCCTTAAGCTAGTGTGTGGCTAGCTAGCGCATGTTCATCAGTAGTTTACTTATACTGAACAAATGTAATAATTATTGAATAGTGAAAAACTTTAGTTTGTGGTTCCATAGTGTAGTGGTTAGCATGCCTGCCTTACAAGCACAGAGTGCTGGGTTCAATTCCCAGAGGAACCACATCCCAAATACTGCATCATGTGTGTTGCAAACACGTAATTAATGGCGCCTCCAGTGGACCTGCGCTGTAAATTCCTCTAAAGTGGGACGAATATGAGACTCAACTCTATTATTATTAATAAAACTAAGAAAGTACATTCTAAAATTTCTCGTTTCTTTACATATTTTGTAGCGTTGTCTATAGGGTTTCCAAAGGGTCCAGTGATTCACAAATGTTTTCAGCAGTGCCCCTGTTTTGTAGTCCTTTTACAGCCCCCGTGTTGACACATTTACAGGTATTGGTTTCAAACCCCATTCCACACTGTAATCCCTACAACTGTTCTTTTTCAGCAAAAGAAACAAAATTATAAAATTGGTGCAAATTGTTCACAGGAGCAAAATGTATTGCAACAGCTCTGTCACCTCGCCTGCCCCCCCAACCTCGCCGTCCAACCAGATCTTCACACGTACATGCATTTAGAGGTCATTAGTCAAACCAGTGATGACTCCGTCCATTTATTATCACCAGTCTTTGAGATTATTGGTTTGTCCTTCCTATCGTTAGCGTTTTCTAAATAACACAGATACACAAGAGGTGAAAGTCACTAAAGATGTCAGCCACGTATCCAACTTACACACAACAACAACAACAACACACAGAGTGATTGTAGCGCTGCATGTTCTTCCTTCTCCACAGTCAGTTAATTTGTTGTTGTTAAGCAGAGCCAGATCACGGGAGTGATACTCTCCTCACCCATGTTCTCGCTCATATCTCTCTCTGACACCTACATAAATACACAGTCCATCAGTGTGTGTGTGTGTGTCTGTGTGTGTGTGTGTGTGTGTATGAGACACAGAGAGCATGTAATGTGGGGGAGGCTCCAGATTCACGCTGTGCATCCGAATCTGACCTTTACTGCCTGAAATAGACTCCCGCAGAGAAGACAGCAGAGAAAATGAAAATACAAAAAAACAAAAGGAGAAAGAGAAGGCGATAAAAAAAAATAAAAAAAACAGAGGGCAAAACGACGAATAAGAAAAAAGACAAAAAAGGAGAAAAAAGTAAAAGTCAAGACAGGAAGTTCGACGAATAAAAAAACCAAAAAAACAAACAAAAAAAAAACAACAGTTGGAGATGAAAATAGCTTTCTGGAGGATCAGAGCCCGAGGGATTTGTTTTTCTGAAATAAGTTTTTAGTGGTTTCCGGAGGATCGGAGCCCGAGGAATTTGTTTTTCTGAAATAAGTTTTTAGTCAGAATTTTAACAACAAAGTTGATTTAGCGTTAGACTTATTTTCAAACTGCACGCCTATTGGACCCCTAGTGGATGACAGGTGAATGTGAGTGTGAATGATTGTTTGTCTCTGATATTTCGGAGAACTGTGATTGGTGTCAAACACCACTGAAGAAGAGTTTAGTTCAGTGTCAAACTCATTTTGGTCCAGGAGCCACAAACAGCCTGACCGGCACAATCATAACATAATTACCTATAAATAATGAAAAGTCAATGTTTCCCTCCTTTGTTATACTGCACACAGGCACAAGTATACTAAAACATGTTCACATTTAATGAAGTATAATCTGACAAAACATAACAAACATAAAGTGTTTGTGCATTTTTTCGCTGACGTAATCCATGAAGTGGGCCGAATTGATCACCCTAGCGGACGATTTTGGCCCGCGAACCATATGTTTGACATCATTAGTGTAGACTGAATGGAAGTTATTGGAGATACATCTATATCTTTATGACATAGTGAGTCAGTTAGCAGATGATTGGTTAACTCCTGATGAATTTGTTGTGTTGTTTTCTCTCCCTTGTCCCTCCGTCTCGATTTTATTTGTTGAAGACAAAAATTTAATTAAAGCAAAACAATAAAACTTTGTCTTAAATCTTTTTTCAATTTCAATTTTCAAATGAATTACTAAACCTAATAACTGTTATTTTAATTACAATTTAAATGAACCCCTGTGATTTACGTAGTGTTTTATTTTTTGTAGAATTTTGGCGATCAGATCCAATTATTTATTTAGTGAAACTCCTGTAACAGCCTGTAGGGACTCCATTAATTTAGTTTTATTATTAAACTGTGTGAGAAAAACTGAAGCTTTGCAGACACTTCATCACACGGCGCTCCTTTCATCCAAAGGACATAAAAGGTGTATTTTATCTACAAAAGGTGTTTAAACACTAATCAAACTGTAACTGTAGGATCATTCTGTTCTGTCACTTGACCTCTTACTGTGTAAACCTGCGTTCACGTCAGTCAGGTCAGATCCGGTCTTTCTTTTTTTTTTTTAAGTACTATGGGAATTGAGTTCCTTAAAAGTTCCTAGTAAACTTTTTCTTGGTTTTCGTTTATTAATTTTACATGAGTGAGAGGAAACAAGTGCACTGCACTCTGTTGAACTGAGGATAAATTTACAGCTTTTTCCAGGCACCGTTCCTCTTTCCTGTGCATCTGTGGAATGTAAACAGGCTTTTAGAGTATATGATGTGGTGGGAGGGGGCAGAGCGGTCAGGGAGGGTGGAGGAAGAAACGACCACAACAAGCTTCAGATCCATTAGAGAAGCTTCACTGCGGTCAGACGATGGGCCTCTGTTCCCTGTATCGATTTGTTCGGTCATTTTCTGCTGCTTTCTGCTTCTACCGCATCAGTCCTGCAGGGGGCTCTGTGTGGCTCACGTTTCATAGAGACCACACCGGATCATAAGTAGGCACAATGCAACGCCACAATAATGTAGCGGTAGCCGGCAGTGATCAGACCATTAACACTGATGGTACACACTGAGTATAACGGTAGAAAGGGTTTCTGTTCACTGTGTTTCCTGTGGTACACACTGAGTATAACGGTAGAAACCCAGAGTAATGACCAGAAATGGACGCGGTCAAAACCTGACCTCATCCATTAATGACCGCTGACGTCTTTTTCTACCCCGCAAAAGAAAGTTCTACAACAATACAAGTACTGAAAGACTGATGGTGCTCACTGAAGTTAAAAATATTGTAATAATACTGGGTACAACTGCAATAATATTATTAATGTGATGATCTTCTGTGATTAATGACATTAATAATACGCAAAATTGAACAATGAATTGGGAAGTCTTTATCACGCTAGTGATAACGAAATTCAACTTCTCAGTACTTCGGTTCTAACAAGTCCAGTATTTGGGAGAGATTTAAAAATGAAAATGTTCATATGAGAGTTTAGGTTTCAGTTCACGTGAGAGCTGCAGCAGTTTTGACTCGACTCCTAAATGATCTAAGTTGTTGAGACATGTGAGGAGGCCACACCCACCTT